TTGGAAGTCCTATGCATAGTGTGTTCAGAATCTGACCACTTCTCACCATCTTCACTGCTACCACCCTGGTCCAAGCCACCTTGGACCATCATCTTTGACTTGGATTATTGCAAAGTTGGTCTCCTTGTTTCCACTTTTGCCTTTCCATGGTCTCTTTGAGAACCTGTAAAACTAAAGTCAGCTCATATCATGTCTGGCCATACCCTCCAATGGCTCTCTGTCCCTCAAAAGACAAGCCAATGGCTTGCAGGATCAGACCTCTGTTAACTCTGGCCTCACCTCCTGCTACTCTCCCTTACTTGCTTTGTTCCAGCCACACTAGCTGTTCTCTCTTCCCAAAATGTTCTTCCCCTGAATACCCACAAAGACCACCACCCAGCTCCATCAGAAGGTGCTCAGATGTCACCTTCTCAAAGAGGCCCACTGATCATCTTGTTCAAATTTCACTTGCCACCTCCTTACTGCTAGCACTCTACATATACCTTACCCTGCCCTATTTTTTATATAGTACTTACCTCATAAGTACTGTATGGTAGGTGCTCCAGGTTGACTTTGACTGTCACTAGTTATGTCTCTGATAAGTCTTATGTGCCAACGGAAAGAGACTGAATTGCTGCCATTGATACTCTCGTAGTCCCTCCACTCCAAAGAGCCACTCTGGACTATGGACAAAGAAAATGTCTCCAAAGGGTAGGGGAATTCCAGCCAGTGGACTGGAAACACTGGAATTACTAGGAATCCTTGTTAAAACTATAGTCTCTCCAGCCCCAGCCCAGACCTTAAGAATTAGACTCTTTCTCTGGGGAGTCAGGGCGCCTCTAGGGATTCTGACCATGGGATCCAGGTCAAGAGAAGAATGTCTTCCCTGCTGCCACAGGTCAGATGGATGAGCTAAAAGGAAACTTAGAAGTCACCCAGCCAGCGTGGCTCAGTGGTTGAGCATCGACCTAGGATCCAGGAGATCGAGGTTAGATTCCCTGTCAGGGCACATGCCCAGGTTGCAGGTTCCATCCCCAGTAGGGGGCGTGCAGGAGGCAGCCAATCAGTGACTCTCATCGTTGATGTTTCTCCCTCTCCCTCTCCCTCTCCCTCTCCCTTCCTCTCTCTGAAATCAATAAAGATATATTTAAAAAAAAAAAAAAAAAGTCATCTTGTCAACTTTTCCATTAGACATGAGGAAGCTAAGACTTGAGGTCACATAGCTAATCACGTGTATAAAGAACATCAGATTGTTAAGACTGGAAGTGAAATCCTTTATGTTTTCAGTCCAGGAACCAGTTCTCTGGGAAGTCTAAAACAATCTGGTATCCCTCTCAGCACCTCACACAGAGGTAAGCACATAGTAGGCACTCAAATTACACATGTTGTCTGAAATGAGAGAGAAGGGAAAATGGGAGGAGGAGGGGAGGACAGCAGGTGTCTGGTTAACTTCCACTGCAAACTTCCACCTACCCAAGGTGTAGTAATCTCCATCAGAGGCTTTCACCACCTTCCATATGGTGAGAAAGTTTTCAAAGTAAGCTGCCAAGCGGACGCTAGTCATGGGAACACCAATGGACCAGAAATACTCCTCCACCTCTCCCTTCCCATCAAAGTGCTCAACTTCCAGCTTCCCGCCAGTCAGGCGCTTGACGTCCTCCAGGCCGCTGTACACCACGTGCTTCAGACCCAGGCGCTTGGCAATATCGGCCACCAGCTTTCCCTAAGGGACAAATGATGAATTCTTTATATAGAAAGGTGTATTTGCATATGGACGAGAGGGCAGGTGCTGCTTTGCCTTCCCCGCTCCTTTTCTTATTATTCTCCTTAGAGACGAAGCTCTTCCAGCATCAAAATATATTCAAGTTACCATCTGAGAGGCCACCAGTATTGGAGGGCAGAGGCTCCACCATGTCAAAATGCTGAACCTCATCAGAAGCTAAGAGGCAGCCTGGTGAGAACAGTCAGGAACGTTTGGTCCCTTCCTCTAGGCTATCAGTACCTTTGTGATCAACTCCCACATTTATTTACATATAAGGCTCAGGGATACCTGAGATAACAATATGCAGTGTAATAATGTTTTCTGGCAATGAATTCTATCTGCACACCATTTAGATATTGAGAGCATAATAAAGACATACACACACACACAGATATTCTCTTTTTGTGTTTTAGTTCTAAATTTTCCAAAGTACCTTCATCTCTCTCTCTCTCTTTTTTCTTCTTCTTTCTTTCCACTGTTTCCTTCTCTTTTTTTCCTTACAAAACCCCATGTGGTAATCAGAGATGACATAATTAATCTGGCTTAGTAGGTGCAGAAAGGGAAGCAGAGAAGTGACTTTGTACCCCTGGGTGTCATAGTAAGCGAATATCAGAATTAGAACCCAGAGCTCCTAATGTAAGCCCTGCCAAAGTTTATCACTAAAAGAGAAGCTGTAAATGGTAATAATTTAACAGACATTCCTGAAATGTCTCAATCCTGAGACAGGCTCAATCCTGCTCTTAATTTTTTGAATTGCGCAATTTTTGCAAAAGGCTGATTACATTTTTATAGTCTAATCTTCATATTTTTCCAATTTATACATATATATCATTTCAAATAGTACTGTCATGGGAGGGGAGGGAATTGAACTTATAATGACAGACATTTCCCTAAGCCCCCATGCTGATAACCACTCTCCAGAGGTAACCACGTCATCTCTTTTAGCCATTTCTTTATTTCTAAATAACAGGTTTGCACTACTAATTCTTGGTATTTTTCTCAGTTTAAGATATCATCTACTAAATTCCTACTAAGAAAGATGAGCCCTCATCTTTAGTGTTCTCTCTCTCACACACACACACACACACACACACACACACACACGGTCCACCACCACCGTCACACATATATGCAATTCCCTTTTTTTCATATCCCCAATATCATAATTTTGGGCTAGATCAATAATCAGTGCTTACACACAGCTGAAGTTGAACAATGTAATATTCTATGGTTACATTTCTTTTTTTCTACAAATTTTTATTTTCCCTGATGTTAATCACCATGGGTTTATTTGCTTGCTTGGTTGGCTCTTTTTCTATGTACCCATTACTGATTTCTCCCTAAATTCTCTGCCTGAAGAATAAATATAGTCATTACATTTTGTGCTTCCCTTTTCACTTCAGAGTTACCTTAATTTGTGGGGTACCCTTCATATGCCATCTACAGACCAGTGGTGGGCATCTAATGACTGGCTCCACTGCATGGTCCCTCTCAGATCTCCAGGGTCTTGAGATATGGGCATGTGCCACACAGAACACTGACTTCACAATCAAAGACCCCTTTAACAAGCACTTGAAGTGCATATATTTCATAAATCCAGGGAGACGTGGAGTGAGGCTTATATTTTTGCCCAGACTGAAGGCCCACCCCCTTCAAGGGAGGGCAGAGCACCCAGGGAGGGTGAAAGGAAGGGACTTGAAGATCTTCCCACCTGACACACTTCTTTCTCTTTGCTGAGATGGTCCCAGAAGTTGGTCACCACAAAGGCCCCATAGGCATCTTTTAAGGCGGCCTCCACTGATGCTGCATCATTCAGGTCCCCTTTTACCACCTCAGCGCCAAGGTCCCGGAGCACCAGTGCATTTGGTCGAGTCACATCCCTGGTCATTGCTCTCACAGCAAACTTTTTGCTCTCCAAAATGGCCCTGGCCACAGAGCCACCCTGGGCTCCTGCAGGATTGGGGAAGAAGTAGAGGAAGGATCAGGAGGAATGTTCACTAAAAAACAGTTGGTCAGGAAGTGCCATTATTCGGAGTATAGCTGTTGTAATAACTACTTCAGGAGGCATGCCCACGGCTTGCAACAGAGGTTTTCAAACTAGGTTTCTCCCAGCCTCGTCAGAAGCACCTTTGCAAAATCCATGGGGGAGAAAAAGAATGGGAGAGGCCTGATGCAATAAGGAGGCCAAATGAGCAGGGTACCAGACCCTCCACCCCAGATTCAACTGGAAAAATCTATTTTTTTCTGGTTATAAATTTTATTTTCAGGTTCTTCACACAATTATATTTTCAAAAGAACTTCCTATTTTATATATTTTTAAAAGTTGAAAACTTGCATAAGTTTCTTTTTATGGCATTCAAAGCCATTAATGATATATGATCATTACTTTCATTACTTGCCTAATTTATCTACTCTACAAATATTTACTGAATGCCCTGTGATATATGCCAGGTACTGTGCTGGGTTACTGACATTTGGGATCCTCTATCAAATAGGTTGTATACCTGTCCTGAATATGTTTTTTGCACCTTCAGATCTACCTTCAGCTTCAGCACCCTGCTTCGTGCCTGGGAGGCTGGCCTGTATGGACTCCATCAATGGGTTCTCTTCGTGCTCTCGGGTTGGATCTGGCCAATAAGAGGCATCAGCCCGAAGCGCGTGGGCAGGAGAAGAGGTGACCATCTCCATGCTGCTACTCTCCCCAGGTTTTGGTCATCTCTCTTGCCCTCTGCTCCTTCCTCCTGTTGCTCACTTATTCATTATTGGTCTCTTCCCTTTCAGCCTTTATTTTTTTCCTCTGGCTTCTCTGAAAAGAGTGTGGCACTTGTTTCTTGTGGAAGCCCAACTGATACACCACTGATAACCTTATAGGGTCTGCAGTTCCACGAGCTCTGCTTTTCACAAGGAGCTTCAGCCAAAGTTTAGTGCTATAGTGGTAAATATGAAGAGACATCCAAAGGTCACTAGACGTTTGAAGAAAGCTTCCAACAAAACTGAAATAAACAAACTGATAAAAGGAAACAGAAGCAATGCAGGGAAAGGACGAAAAAACTTAAAGCATTAATATCTTCAGAGACTGGAGAAGATTTTGTAGTCAGAGCATTATATCTGCATCCTGAACCAATAAAAAGGGAGGGGGAGGCAGAGGAGGAGAGAGTGCATTTAGAAGAGAAGATGAAGCTCTCAGAAATTTAAAATATAGTAGAAATAAGTTTTCAATAGAAAAAGTTGGAAAAAGCTCTCAAAATTGAAAGGAAAAAAAAAAAAGAAATGGAAAACAGGAAAGAGAAAATAGAGGATCAAGCCAGGGGAATTCCAGAACAAGAGAATAGAGAAAATGGACATATGGAATTATCAAAGAAGATAATTTCCCAGAGTTCAAGGATACTGAATGAGCTTCCGGATCAAGGGGCCGCTGACTGCCAAGGACACTGAATAAATAAGGTCTCATGTTATTTACATAACTGTGAAATTTCAGAACACTGGGGATAGAAAAAATCTTACAGCCTGGCTGAGTGTGGCTCAGAGGTTGAGCGTCGACCTAGGATCCAGGAGATCGTGGTTCAATTCCTGATCAGGGCACATGCCCGAGTTGCTGGCTCGATCCCTGTTCAGGGGCATGTAGGAGGCAGCCGACCAATGACTCTCTCATCATTGATGTTTCTGTCTCTCTCTTTCCCTCCCCTTTCCTCTCTCTGAAATCAATAAAGATATATTTAAAAAAGAAAAAAATCTTACAAACTTTGGTGGAAGGGTAGTCAATTCAAAGGTGAGGGATAAAAATAGCAGCAGATTTCTTTATAACATTGGAAGCAATGGAGTAATGTCATTTAGGGGGAAATGAATTTCTATCTAGAAGTTTAAACCTAGCCAAATGATCAGTTGATTCTAAACATTCTACATAAAGACATTTTCAGACACTCAAGGTTTCAAAAATTTAAGTCCCATGTACACTTTCTCTGTAAGCTCCTGGGGGATGTGCTCCAGCAAAATGACAAAGTAAAGCAAGCAAGAGAAACTGCAGGAAACAAAAACCAAACCCAGGAGTAAGGCAAAGAAAATTATTAGAATAATGAAGAAGGAAATCTTGGAAGATTGAAATAGAAAAAGGTAGCATTCCAGGAGGGAGGTCTCCATGGAGAGAAGAAAACAGAACCAAGAGATTAATTGATGTGTTTGCTCATTTTTAGAGAAGTCATCTAGCTTTACTGGAGAGATTGAAGGGGAAAAAATGAGTGCCAGGTACAAAGAAAACTAAACAAATAAAAAATAAAGGCAATTAGCCCTAGCTGGTTTTGCTCAGTGGTTAGAGCATCAGCCCATGAACTGAGGGGTACCAGGTTCGATTACAGCAAAGGGCAGGTACTTTGGTTGCAGGCTTGATCTGGCTCCAGGTCGGGGCATGTGTGGGAGGCAACCAATTGATGTGTCTCTCTCACATCGATGTTTCTCTCTCTTTCTCCCTCTCACTCTCTCTGAAAAGCAATGGAAAAAATATCCTTGGGTGAGGATAATGAATAAAAATAAAGGCAATCATTAATTTTAGGGAAAACAAGAAATTATGTGAGAAAGTCACACTACATGGCTCAAGTATGAACAATAATTACATAGTCATAATAAGAGTCCATATTAGTTCATCATCCATATGAAAAATACAAATTGTTTAAAACTATATTAGAGAGGATGAGAAAAAGGAAATATGTGCTTGGGGATGGGGATATAGGAGAGCTAAGGACAATGAACAATATCTAAAATTGAAAAATCAAGAAATAGCATGTAATCACATTATTTAGAAATATGGAGACAAATGCCAGTAAAAAGAGGAGAGTTAAATATGGAAAGGAGTAGGGCAGGGTCTGCTGGGTTCCTGTACAAGCCTTGTAGGACTCTTAGACTTTTAAAACTATTGTAGGCACAGCTATAAAAATAAAAATTCAATAAAAAATATTTGTCGGCTATGTTAGTTTGCTAAGCCTGTCATAAAAAACTTCCACAGATTGTGGCTTAAACAATTGAAATATATTTTCTCATAGTTCTGGAGGCTAGAAGCCCAAGATCAAGGTGTTGCTGTGTTTGGTTTCTCCTGAGATCTCTCCCCTTGGTTTGCAGATGGAGAGCCTTCTCACTGTGTCCCCATATGGTCTTTCCTTTGTGCACTCTAGCCCTTCTTGCTTTTCTGTGTGTCAAAATTTCCTCTTCTTAAAAGGACATCAGTCCAGATAGGGTCCACTCTTATGGCCTCACTTTAATATAAATGCCTCAGCAAAAGCCCTATCTACAAATACATATTCAGAGGTACTAGAAATTAGGGCTTCACTATATGAATTATTTTGGGGGGTGAGACACAATTCAGCCCATATCAACTATTATAATTATTTCCTTTTAGCCCTCCTACTAAACTGGGTTCTCCTTGAGGACAGAAACTCTACTCTTCATCCCTGTTTCCCAATCATGTGCTGAGACTATTCTCTGGCAAACTGCAAGTTTTCAACATTTGCATGTTGAATGAATGAAGTGAAAAGACCGAAACCTCTGTGTTTTCAACTCTTAGCTTTAGAGGTGGACAGTCTTGCTGAAACCTGTATGAGTGAGTAAGAGGAGCTGGACCCGAACCAGAACTGGCTCTCCTAACCACTCCCACTTTTTATGTTTTACTAAGACCCAAACCAAGAGAAGAATTCATCCATCTTGGCCCTGTTCCTTTAAATTAGCAAGACATAACCATAAACTTATCAGAGCAAAAAAGCAGCCCCCAGGGCATCCATTCTTGACATACTCAATTGTCCCAGACCCTCCTTGTTTATTCTGGATCATTCCCTCTTGGGCCCAGTTCTCTTCCAGGTAATTCCATGTTGAGGACAGTGTCAACCTCAGAAACGCCCAAATTTTTATAAGAGTTTATTTGAGTGCTCACTTTGGCAGCACACATACTAAAATTATTTGAGCCAACTGACAACACATGCCAGGGAGCAAGATCTCAAATAACATTTCTGCGGTTTCTTGTATGCATTTGAAATTAAGGAGGGAAAGTAGGGAAGATTACGTGAAGGTGGTAGAAAGCAAGGCAGAGATTAGTTTACGGGATAGTTAACAAGATTATGTGCTCTTTTGAGGGTGGTTATTTCAAAGGTGTGTTAACCTAGATGCACAGAAGCAATGGACAGGACTAGCTTAAGGCAAAGATAAGGCTTTCTCTCAAGAAGTTACATGCCTGGGGCTGATGACCCACCATGACCTGCCCAGTTAGGAATTTATGATCAGATCCCTTTTTTCATCCACAGTAGCATTTGAATGGCAGGCACTGTTCAGAGTTTGACATGCAAACACACACACAGGTAAGGATTAACACATGTCCCTGTCAAGTTTAACTAGGCATCGTACATGTTTTACCTGCTAAATCAGGCAACTATACTTCAAACACGCAAACACACCCAGAACTCCACTGTAACTGACCAGGGACAAGCCTTGGGCAATAAGGTGATCAGCCCATCCCCTTAGCTAAGCAGGAAGCAACTTTCTTCAACTCTGACACATCTAATCTGATTCTCTTAAGAGCTACTCCCAAGGCTCTTATTCAATTGCCTACTCTGGATGCCTAGGCTGAAACTCAAGTTTGAGACTAAAATGGAGCTCCTGGCTTTTTTAGACCAGCGCCCATGCAGTCTTCCCCATTTCAGTGAATCACAACTTTATCTTCCAGCTGCGCAAGCCAGAACACTCTGAAGTCATTGTTTACTTCTCTCTTTTCACCTCTGATATCTGGTCCATCAGTGAACCCTGTCAACTCCTTTTTTCTTTATTTTTCCCCCCCCATCACAGTTTATCTCCCCTATACCATCTTTCACCTCCACCACCACCCCACCCCCCACAATCACCGCATTGTCCCTGTCAACTGTCTTTGAAACATATCCGGAATCTGACCACTCCCCACCACCTCATTGCTACCATCCCGGTCTAAGCCATGGTCATCTTGGCTGGATTATGGCAGCAGCCTCCTAAAGGTCTTCCTGCTTCAGCCCTTGCCCCCTACACTATGTTCACAAAACAGAAGCTAAAATGATCCTTTTAACGTAGGAGTCATATTGAGTCACTCTGCTCAAAATCCTTTGATGGCTTATTTCTTTCAGGAAAAAACAATATTCTCACCTTCACCTTAATGACATACAATCATCTCCATGTCCCATTTACCTTTTTACCCCCTTTTATTTAATTGGATGTATTGGGGTAACATTGGTTAGCAAAACCATACAGGGTTTTTTACCAGTAAGATGAGACGACCTCGGTTCTTTTCTTCTTGGAGGAAAGATTTCAATCAAGAGACAAAGTGTAGAAAAGCAAGCAAGATTTTATTGACCACTGTAAAAATATAATTAGGACAGTGAAACAAGGAAGGTCAGAGAAGAAGCAACAGGAGAGCCTAGGCTGGGCTGCTTTGGCTCAAACTGCTGTTTAACTATCTGTCTTAGTTTCCCTATTCTGCTTGTCCTGGAATTTTCCTAGCTTCTTGCTATGCTATAACAGTTTCAAGTGTACAACTCAACAAAACGTCATCTATACACTGCATCATGCACCCATTACCCAAAGCAAAGTCTATATCTGTCCCCATTCTCCCCCTTTGCCCACTCCACCTGCCCCACCCCCCTTTCCCTCTGACTATAACCACATTGTTGTCTGTGTCTATGAGTTATGTATGTGTTCTTGGCTAATCCCTTCACCTTCTTTCATCCAGTCCCCCCACCTCCCTCCCCTCTTACAGCTGTCAGTCTGTTCCATGTAACCAGGCTTCTCTTCTATTTTGTCTGTCAGTTTATTTTGTTCATTAGATTCCATGTATAAGTGAGATCATATGCTATTTGTCTTTCTCTGGCTGGCCTATTTCACTTAGCGTAATAATCTCCAGGTCCATCCATGCTGTCAAAAAAGGTAAGAATTCCTTCTAAAGTCAATGTCATAACTGGCTATTTGTTTTTGCAAATTTATTTCTCTCTTCTCCCTGCTTTAGTCCTTTCCTCTTTTCAGACAAAATTCCTTTGCTCATAGCGCTTATCTTTTAGTGTAGAGAGACAGATAGTAAGGGAAGAAATCAAGCAGGAAGGGCAGCCAGACAGCGGCAGGGTGGAGAGGAGTTGCAATTTTAAATATGGAGGTCTGGAAAGTGCTCATGGAGAGGACAACTGAGCAGAGGCTTGGGTGACATGAGGAAGAAAGCAGTGTGGAAAACTGGAGGTTGAGGGGGTGGCCAATGCAAAGGACTTAAGGTGGGAGTGTGCTTGAGGAACACACAGAGTAAGTAAAGGAGAAGGTAAAAGATGGGGGTCCATTAGCTGGATTTTGCATTTTACTTGGAGATGGGGAGGGGAGCGTTGGAGGGTTTTGAGCAGAGGCGGCATGATCCCATAGTTTCAAATGGATCATAGGGGGATGAATGGGTGTGGCCTGATTTGATCAACATTTTGAAAAGATGACTCTGGCTGTAAAGAACAGATTATAAATAAAGCAAGTTTGAAAGCAGGGACAGCAGTTAAAAGGCTCCGGCAGTTGCCCCAGTGAGAAAAGTAACAGCACATTCTCCTAACCCCCACCCACCCCAGAATGACTGGGGTATTGTTGAGGCATGTAGCTATGCCCTACAAATGCACGGGCCTCTCACGCTGCTTTTACTTGTTAGGAAGTGAGCGGACAAAAGTCTCCAGAGTACAGCTTATGTTAAAATGAAACATACAAGTCAGCACACAATTGAGAAAGAGAGAATATGTCAGTGGTCCTTGTCCCACTGAGATCATTTCTGACAAATCAAATCACCCCGCCCCTTTACCACATCAGAAACTCAAGCAATATGACACTTTTCTTAAGGGCTCTTTGTTCAGCCCACGCTGGCAGGCTCTGACATTAAAAACAAGACAGGAAAGTAAGCAAAGTCAGCACGCATTTTAAAAGGAGTTTTTTACCTGTTGCTCCAAACACTGCAATTACTTTCTTGCTAGTCATGTTACTGGACAAAGAAACAGTTAGTGGAGTAGCTGAACTTTCCTCAGAGCAGCGACAGCAGCTGTAATAGTTTCTCTTCAAGCATGGGAGTTATAAGTGAAGTTTGATTACCACACCCCTTATTTTGCCCCTCCTTTGTATAGTTTCTGTTACCAGCTGGCTTACTCACTCTGACACTGCAATTTTCCAAACAGGATTCATTTGCTCACTCACTCATGTATTCAGCAAATGTGTATTGAGCGCCTTTGGTGTACTAGATACTGAGCTAAAGGCTCTGGTGATTTGATCTTACAAGGGAGATAAACTACTAAATAAGTAGAAAGCCCTGGCCAGGTAGTTCAGTTGGTTAGAGTGTCGTCCGGATATGCCAAGGTTCAATCCCTGGTCAGGGCACATACAAGAATCAACAAATGAATGTAAAAATAAGTGGAACAACAAATTGATGACTGTGTGTGTGTGTGTGTGTGTGTCTCCTCTCTGTCTGAAAATCAATTTTTTTAAAAAGTACAGTAGAGAAGAATGGCAGAGGGGACACAGGTTATGGAGAAAAGACACAAAACCCAGACTGAGGTGTTAAGTGTTGGGTTTGGACAAAAACTTAATGTTCCTGAGGGCTCACCCCTCCTCAGCATGAGAATGCAACTTTTAGATAAATTAATTTCGCTAGCAGCACTAGCAGCATTCTGTTTGTTACGCTTGGTAAATTTCCACTCCCTGCATGAGAAAGTAACTTTCAGATGAACTCAGGCAACAACCTGTTCCTTACCCTTGGTAACTTTTTATTCCCACTCAGAAAAACTGGGCGGGCACCAAAAAGTTCCCTCCCTACACCCTATAAAGAGACTTCCTCCCCAATCACTCAGGATGATGCCATTTGGAGCTCCGTCCATCTGTATTCAGATGCACTAATAAAATTGCCTTTACCTTTTCATCTGGCCTCGTGTTCCTCCTCGGCAAGCCTAACTTTAGGGAAGATTTTTCAGAGGAGCTGCTGCTGCACTTGCTGGAGCTGACCTGAAGACTCCATGAGTTATTCAATGAGGGAAAGCAGGAAGAAAGACCATCAACACAACAGAGAACTATATATATTGTGATTCCAGGTTGTAAAGAAAAAATTATACACGCACACATGCGCATATATATATATATATATATATATATATATATATATATATATATATAT